TAACCCTGTTGTTTTTCGTCTCTTCTTTTTGCGTGTCTTCTTCTAACATATTCTCTCAAATTATGGTTCCAAATTGGGGGAATTGCGCGCTGCCTTATAATCATCATTACATTCTGTTATATCCTCATTCTCATCTAGCTTCCTCCAATCAAATAAAGTTTTCCATTTTTTTGGCTTTTTCTTTTTATGACCTTCGCTGTTGGATTAACTCTTTCACTTTAATGTGCATTTCTTTTGACTTAAACTTAATTTCACAACGTCTTAACTTCTCCATCATTTTCCGTGTTCATTCATCCAATTCATTCAACGATGGCTGGCCACAAGTTCGTTTTCCATCAAGAGTGTGTTCTGGATGTTCTACCCATCTTGCTTTCGCACCTCGCACCTTTCGACTAAGGCATTCACCATTATTATTCATGCACTTGAGGAATGCTTTCCCCTACATAATAACCCTTGAACCTGATGATACCCTTTACTTAGTCTTCCTCGCCAGCCAATGAGATGTAATATCGTGTGGCCGCTGGTGTGGATTACCAACTTTTTGGAGCCACTATTGAGAGTTGTGTACTTGTGGGAGGCCATTAGTGAAAATAAAAATATTGTGGAATTGTGTTATAGTCAAACTTGCGAGGAATACCTCATGATCACAATATTTTCAGGATAGAGGTCGTTCGTGACATAAAATGCTTTTAATAAATGCGTTTTACCTAAATAAATGTTTAGTCTGCACTAAAGTGTGGTGTTTATTATCCTGTGGTGGCTGCAAGAAAACTTGCTGTATTGGTTGTCCGTTAGTACCTTCCATGGTTGTACGTATCTGTGCAAACCGCATGCAGCGCAAAACCTAGAAGAGAATAATGAGATTTATTATTATTTGTGGCGCATTGTTTTGAAGTAGCGCTTTTCCAGACTGTGCATGAAACACAATTTGAGATTGGGATAATGCGTTTGTCAGTTTCTTCCAACTTACGTGTAGAACTATAATGTTTCTAATTGTCCTTAGTTATACTGTGAACTAATATTTTTCACTCCACATTCTCCATGTCCTTAATACTAAAATCATTCAATACCTTGAAAAGATCACCCTCTGCAGCAGACATTTTTTGTCTTGAGACTATCCTATCGTACAATGATGGGTAGTGCATTTTTCAGCACCTATCAGCAGTAAATAAGAAAAAGCATATACTATATCGACAGAAGTCTGTTTGGTTTATGAGAGGCCCTTTAACCGTCTACCAAATTTTATTATTATTCTCACTCAGTCTGAGTTGTCAGCAAACCTACAGTATTTCTCGTCCTTTCTTGATGATTCAAAATACACATTTTCTAGTGATCTATGATCACCGGAATTTGGCGGCGTTCATATCGATTCGCTTGTAGTCACATACTTTTTTAGTAACCGTGATGCAACACGCTTACGAGTTTGATCACCATGATTCATCAGTCGATGAGGGCGCTATCCAGATCCAACACCGTGGTAAACATAACCTCGCTACAGTTTGTGATCCCTTGAATTTGGTACCTTCGTTCGCAAAATGACGACTGTTGCAATCCAGCCCGAGTTTGGCTATGTGATTTTCACACTTTTCTTAAGCTGGGTAATGATAATGTACCTCGGAATTCGTGTTGGAAAAGCGAGAAAGCAGTACAATGTCAAGGTAGGTCACGCTGAGTATCAACAGGCAGAATTTGTTGACCCTTGTGGGCAATATTTCAAAACGCCCATATAACCAAGGAAGGTTATGATATCACTGACAACCTCTACGCGAAGATAAAAAATATATTTTACGAGTTGTTACAGGTGTTTGTTATTAAACTATAATGTGATAAAATTACAGTCTGTAGAAAACTTGGTTCGGAAAAAACTTCTTTGTGACCAAGTGACCCCAGTGCAAAAACAAAAAACTGACCCCTCAGTGAATCACGGTTACTAAAAAAGAGTAACCGTGGTTAGATCATGCAGAAATTAAGCTAATATTTAGACGTACATATTTCCTACACGCACATATATCGAAAAATAAATGTACTATAATTTGTAACATTGCGGATACCTCATGTTTTCTGTTTGATCATTGTGATTCAGCATTTTTAAAAATTTAATCAAAGGGTGAAAATATCTTGGTTAATCAATCATTTGCTGCAAATTACCACCACTAAATTGTTTGTTCATAAAACTTGAAACCAGAATTGTGTAATCAACAAATTAAAGTTTAGGGTTTAGGTTGATATACTGTCCATGTACTAGTATGTATACAGT